CCAGGGCTTTGTTAACAGCTCTCAGGGAGAGACTCACAGCAAGACTGTATTTACTTTTCCTGGATGCCAGCCCTGTCTGGCAGCTTTCACTTGATAACATGCCCTACATCTGAAGATTCTTCCTGATTGGGTCCAGGGCCAGGCGGCTGGCAAGGTTGAATGTTAATTCAAATGTTTTCCCTCCCTGACACCTTGTCCTATCCTGGTAACACAGGTACCCCCATGCAGGGGCATTCTACTAAATCCTCCCATGCCTTCCTCACAGTTTGTATTTCAAGAACCATTTGATTGGTATTGGTTGTTTCCTATCAATAGGAAGAGTTTGCAGATAAGAGCCCCATCTATTTTTGCTCATCACTGTATCCTCCCACTGTGGGTGTGTGTTACAATTAGAATTGCCAGATGGAACAAATAAGAGTACTCTATAGCCAGTTAAATTTGACATCCAGACACATTCAATAATGAATAATTTAAAAATGTGTCTGTGTGGTGTTTGGGACTTAGGCTAAAATTATTGATTCAAAAAACTGTGTTTCCACATTTATACAGCAGCCTGAAATATAGCTGATGCTCAGTAAATATGCACACTAATGAAGGAAATAATGGGACTAATTCGTGACAAAAGAAGAAAACTATATGTAAATATTTTGCTGGAATGCACATATCAACATATCAAACATGGTTGTTTGAAGGGGTTAAGACTCCTATTTTTTTGTTTGTCTATAAGATTCTTTTGTTCATTTTTCAAATAGGTTGCAAAAAGCAGGAAAGGTTTCAAACACACACACACACACACACACACACACACACACACACACAGAGGAGAGAGACAGGAGAGAGAGAAATACATGTGTAAGGATTCAGGAATTATGCTGGCCTGCCCCTGGCAGAATGCACTCAGGCAGTACCCTGGTCAGCCCAGGGTTCCATGATTGCTTAGTCTGCATGCAGGTGGAAAGAACCCCTTTCCTGTTGTTCCACTGGGACAGACAGGATTTTCCTGTCTCTCTCTTCTCTTCTTCCTCTCTCTGTCTCTGTGTCTCTTTACCAAAAAAACAAAAACAAAATAGGAAAAAAAAAACTCAGTTAAGCTCTGTCTGTCTGGCTTGTTTGTCCCACTGCCTTGGTCACCATCGCCTG